ACACTAAAATTAATCGTTAAGCTGGTGGAACATTCGATCATGGAATGATTATGACCGTACTATGTAAGGTGAGATGAAACGTTAAAAAATGAGTAGTTCCGTGTGGGATAGGCAGAAGCACATAAAGAGATTGATSTGAGGAGGCCCTAAGGTGCTTAAAAGGGGTGAACCACACAACTAGAATTAATTGAAAAAAAGAGTCTTAAAAGGGTAAGATTTTCAGGAAAAAATAGRCAGCATTTTGGGTCTAATCTATACGAAATTAATCACGTGTCAAATATGAGTAGTATACGACCATGCATATTTCAATATTTCAAAACGGAGTGAACAAGAGAGAAATTAAGAAAGTGGATCCCTCTCCATTAAGAGTAAATCCAACAAATATAACCTAGCTACAAAAAAAATTAAGACCAGTCTGCAGAAGAATACAATAAGAAACCCTAGATATCCTGTTGAATTTAGTGTCTTTAGAATATAGTAGACTTAGGAATAGACAAAATAACTGATGAGATAATTAGGATAGACTGACTCTATCCGATAGAGGAAAGAGGAAATAGGAAATTACTTAGATGGCCCAGTAGAGATATWACAAAAAGTAAGGTGAAAATATTATACCTATCAGCATGTACTGTCACGATTTTTTGTTTTTTAAGTGCGATAGGACTGAAGACGGTAGATCCGATACGAAGGGTATCTAAAACAAATATAAGGAACCTATGATCAACCGCATAAAAAGTTTTATTAATATCAATGATCATCTGCTAGCCATAATATATCCTCAAAGATTTTCATAATGTAAGTTGTGAAAGAAATGGTGCATGTAAGTGGAAACAATGAACTTATCTATCCATGCTGATCGTTAACAATGAGTAGTTAATACTTCATTTTATTCATGAATAAACAATGTATTAAAACAATGTGGATATGTATTAWATATGAGGAGATGAAGATGGGTCTACGATTATTTACAAGACATTTAACAACACATTCTAAGATTAGGGTAATAGACTTTTAAATTTTAGGAAATACTCCCATATAMAGAGTGTGTAATTAGTTGGTGATTGGAAATAATACAATAAATGGTAGTTGAWAAGTAGGTGAATGGAAATACTGTTAAAGCCATTCAAAAAAATATTTTTTTAAGAATTGAGAGTGAACATATTCAATGATAGAGGCATGGAAAAACATTTCTGAATTAAAAATCAGAAGAAAGAGATAGATAATTATTGAATGTAGAGAATAGTTATTCAAAGATAAAATTGTATGAAACAATAGAAGAATCAGCCCATTCATTGTTGAGGAAAACAGAGGAAGAATATTCGTATGCTGGTTTAAATTTTCTAAAACTTCTAAAAGGAAGAAGGTATAGAAGAGAGCAAAACTATACTTACGTCTTACAAGCTGGTAGCCCATTGTAATTGATTTARAAAGTTTAGAGATGCCAACAACTTGAGAAGTCTTGACGACAGGGGAAACTCAATTWTAGTACCTGACAGTAATGTTAGGTTCACCTTTTTACTTGCTGATTCGAGGTCAGCATAAACTCGCAGAATTTCAAGGCGTTCCTTTATTGTCTGATCCCGAACAAATGAGATTACAAGAAAGGAGCCCACGTTACTAAAGCGCTTAGCAACGTTGAAATTGTGACCAAACTGAAGAGCAATTTCTTTAGAAGGGGAAATAACTGTAATTGCAATAGTGCCAAGAACTATTTTTCCCTAGTCTAAACAACTTTGTGATAAAGTGCAGAGATAATAATATATCCTGTGTCTAGGTTCTGATAAACGTAATMAGAGTGTACTGAGTTTGTGAAGGTGGTAGATAACTGTCTGTGAAATGTGTCATCAAAACCGATAGTAGTCTGTAATGACGCAGTGGTTGGAACAAGGACTGGCAGATAATAAAAGCATGAAAAAACACTAACTACATAGTGTTTTATACGACGGAGAGCAGATATTTCCCACTGCAGATATTTGTCTATCCAAACAGTTACATTTCACATTTTGTTCTTAATAATAATAATAATAATAATAATAATAATAATAATAATAATAATAATAATAATAATAATAATAATAATTAATACTATTACGAATATCGTGAGTTTTTTTCTATTAAAAGTGTTTATTTTTTCTATAATTCTTGATTCATATATAAAAGTTTTATTTTTATACTATAGAATAAAATACTGTYTATTCCGGCTAACTGAAGTACTCTTCTCTATTGTTGTCGTGTTTTATTCACCATTCCAATAGTAATATTAGAGCAGCAATATGCCACCACCATCATTTCGGACAATAAACTAAAGACTGTATTCGATTTACGATGCCAGACATCTAATGGCAACTCCAGCTCATTCGCCTGAATCAGACAATGTTTACGAAAAAGCATACTCCGTAAGTACTAATATTGATTTTTTTTTTACTTTATTACATCGTTTAAAATGTTTGAACTAAAAAAATATTATTGTAAAATAAAGTTTTTGAAATATATTGTGGATATTTTAAAAACCTTTGCAATTWAATTTTAAATTTTGAATGATATGAAACAAAATCTCATATTTAAAAATAATAGTTTTCAATTTCGTTGTATTACTACAGGTAATATTTCTTTAACACAGTGTATTTTACACAATATTTCTTTAATAAATAATAATTAAACTTGTATTTTCATTAGGATTTATGGGTTTGACTTATGATGTGCTAATGTTATAACGTTTTTTTTTTAATTTAATGAAGCCATTATTTTTTTTTTTTAATGTTTTTATTTTATCATAGGAATAGTCAAGGAATTCTATAAAGTTCTTAAATTCATTAATAATTTCCACTAACACTCGTTTACACACGTATAGTGA